AAATGTATATAAACATGTAAATGAACATGTTACAAAAAGATTTTTCTAAATTGCATTTCCCATTTGTGAAAAATCATCATTTTGCAAAAATAGTCCAAAACACGAAAATGTAAACATGTGAATTTTGACATTTAGGCTAAACCATGTTTTAAAACTTTGTACAATGATTATATAGACTTAATAAAATATGTATAATATTATTGTTAAGTCCGAAAACTAAGAATACAAAATTTTTATAAAATTGCATATTCTATGCAATGTTTTCAAAAACACAATAGTAAATATGAAATATGTGATTTCATATTTATAAACATGAAAACCCAAAACCATGCATGTATATAAATATATATAACTATATATATGCATAGAAATCAAAACTTATGTATATCTATATAACTATATAGATATACGAAGAAACCAATAAATGTGTTTTTATAGATATTGAGCTTAGAGTATTAAACACACATAATATAAACCTATACTAAATATACCCAAGCTTGATGAAGGTCTTCAATGAGCATGACTTGGTAAACTTTGCGGAAGAAGCTTGTAATTAGATCTTTAACTTGAATTGACGTTGCTTCACTCCACAATTCCGCCAACCTCCATTTGATATGATCGTTAAGGCTCGATTCCATCCATCCTCCAACTCGTTGTTTGCCTAGAATAAATACGAAAACACAAATACTAGACAAACAACATTAGATGTAAATGGTTTGCTAAATCACCATCAAAACAAGAAGGCCAACAGTGCGCGATTCTTCAAGATACGATCCTCAATAGTTAAATGGGTCCTTTTGACACAGGCCCATTTGTTGGTTGATGGTTTGGAAAAGGAGTCAATTGATTGTTGTGGTGGCGGCTTAGTTGCTTGTCGCCTCCTAAATTCTAGATTCACGTGATAGTGGACTCCATCCACCTACTCCAAGACCTTGGCGAGATGAGTGAGGCGTTGGCGCTGCCTCTAACGAGCCCTCTTCATCAGAACTGGTGCTCTTTCGACAGACAACTCCTTGACTGAAGAGCAGTTGTGAGTAGACATTTCAGCTTTGTTGGACGCCGGAGGGGTGATGTGAGAGGAACCTTCAACAATTGGCGAGAGTCATCACCCTGGGTCTTCAGATCTGAAGACCAGCGAACCTTCTTTAAAGAAGAGATCTTCCTATGCTTGCGAGGGAAGGAGGAGCTAGAGGAGGATGATGAGACGTACTCCTCGAACTTTTGTTGGTCGAACTCGTACTCGATCTCTTCATCAACCGGGATCTAGATCCTTAGTTGCGACACGACAGCCTCGGAAGAGAGGCTGTTGGCTCCCATTGTAGTCACCAGCGTGTTTGCGTCAGAAATTATTTTCATTGCATAATCCATTTACAACATTTATCGTTCATAATAGATTCAAAAGAAAGAGCCTTTTTATAAGACTTTTCTTTCATGAATGAAAATAAACAAGGAGGATCTCCTAGAAACACACGCAGAATCATTTATCCGTGGACTGCTAAGTATCAAATCTGTGTTGAACTGAATAAAGGCTCCTAAGTTTTTATCCTTGCAGACTTCTAACCATGAGACAAGATGTATTTTACTTCCCCATAAGAAAGCAGCACAAAGCATATCAATTTTTTCCAACACCCTTATCGGCAGAACATAGTTACTTGTCCAATATGTTTGAATTCCCAGGATAACAGTTTTTATGAGTTGAATTCTCCCCGCATAAGATAAGTTCTTCCTTCTTTGACAGTCTTGAAGCTGATCCGAAATTTTTGAGATTAAAGATGAGCAGTCCAAGTAGGAGAGTCTTTTAGAGACCAAGGGCATGCCTAAGTATCTTATAGGTAAAGATCCCTCCGGGAATTTTAGATACGAACATATTTGAGCTTTAGCATTGTCTTCAATCCCACACAATAGCACAGAGGATTTATAGGAGTTAGCCTCCAATCCAGATACTCTACTAAACTCCTGAAGGCAGTTGTTTATTTTGACTATGGAATCCATATCAGCTCTACAAAAGAGTAATAGATCATCAGCAAAGATCAATTGAGTACTACCCAACTTAGCACACTTTGGATGGTATTTAAACAGTCTGTCTGCGCTGAGAAGTTTGAGTTTTCTGGATAAATACTCCATACCAAGAACAAACAAATAAGGAGACAATGGATCTCCTTGCCTCAATCCTCTAGCCCCCTCAAAGTAGCCATGTAATGAGCCATTAAGTGACAGAGAGAATTTGGAAGTAGAGATGCATTCCATCACCCATTTAACCATATTATCAGGAAATCCCAAACCTGTCAGCATAGCCTTAACAAAACTCCAATTTATAGTGCCAAAGGCCTTCCTCAAATCAATGTTAAGGACAGCTCTTGGAGATCTGCCCTTAACAAATGCACTCTGAGCATCATCAATCAGATAGCCAATGACATTATGAATTCTGGCAGCAATAATTTTAGATATTACCTTGTAGACACAGTTACAGCAAGAGATAGGTCTATAATCAGATGGAGATCTTGGATTTAGAATTTTAGATATTACCTTGCACATCCTGCTGCCAAATAGATCTGATTAAAGGGAGGTATTCAGTGTGCTTAGTCCACATTTTATAGAATTTGAATGGCTTCTTGCCCTGAAAATCATCATCTCCAACTGTAAGAAGAGCTGGAGAATGATCAGAACAGACTGGCTGTAAAAAATCTACTTGACTTGATGTATATTGCATGATCCATAACTCATTGATCAAAACTCTATCTAATCTGCTCCAAATTCTACTTTCAGCTTCTTGTTTGTTATTCCATGTATAGAAGCACCCAGTAGTCTTAATATGCACCAGTTGGCTAGAGGAAATAAATTGCTGAAAATCTTCAGTGTCAGCTCCTATAACTGGTGCACCCCCCCAACCTTTCATCACCATTAGTAATGGCATTAAAATCTCCCCCAACTAGCCAGGGACAATCAACTGATGTCCTGAAGTCTTGAATTTCCTGCCATAGTACTTTCCTTCCCTCTCTTTGATTCAAAGTATAAACCACAGTCATTAGACAAGAAAATCTACCATCTTTTGAGTTGACTGAGCATGTCACATATTGCATTGAGGCTTTAACACACTAAATAGAAAGAATATCACTATTCCATAGAAGCCAAATCCTCCCATTTCCTGCTTCTTGGATATTAGAGATCCATTCCCAATTTTTTTGCATTTTTTGAGCTATTTTATCCATATTTCCTGCAGAAAGCTTTGTTTCCAATAAGGCTATAAAAGGCAGCTTATACTCTTGAATGAATTGCTTTACAATTAAGTGTTTAGGGGACATGTTAAAACCCCTAATATTCCAAATAGCAAAGTGCATTATTGTCCTTTCCCCCTGTTTATGCAACAGGGGTCAAAGTCTAGGGTCTGAGATTCCAATGGAGAGAAAGAAGATACCTGGGTTAGGTTCCCTGGAGTTTTTGCTAAAACTCTTCTTGCAATACTTGCCCTATTAACACTTGAAAATCCAGATGCATTGACTGTTGGAGAGGAAATTTGGTGAAAAGTTGCCAGTCCGGAATTTCCAAGTCTAATGCTATGAATATCAGACCTCATGCTCTGTGCATGTTTCTCAGGTGCAGAAGAGTTGGCTAAAGTTTGTCCCTTATCAGGAGAAACATAAGCATTTATATTTGCCTCTGATATTATTTGCACATTTCTACTGTTTGGATGTTCTTTCATTTGCTGAGCAGATGTATCAGACAGACTAACATTAATCTGATCTCCAGAAACATGCACAGGCTCATACAGTGCACAATTGACTTGAGCTTTAGAATTTTCCTTTCTATTAACTGGAACCCATATTTTCTTAAACTTTTGTCTTCTACAATTGTCAGTGTCATGCCCAATAATACTGTAGTTTGAACACCATCTAGGCTTAAGTTCATAGATAACCCTCTGACTGTACTTTTTCCCATCTGGCCCTTGAAAATCAACTAGGTCTGGCAAGGGTTTCTTCCGGGGCAATTGCACTTCAATTAGTACTCTAGCATAGCTAAGTCTCTGCCTAGTAGCTGTAAGCATATCAGTAGTTATAGGACATCCAATTAAGGTAGAGATCTTGCTAATTCCTATGGCACTCCACAAATTAGGTTTCAGATTTGGGAGTTGAATCCACATTGGGTATGAATAATCCTGTATTTTCTCCATTTCAATCTCAATAGACCATGGTTTTAGCATCAAAGGCCTTGAACCAAAGAACCAAGGCCCAGATTCCAAGACCTCTCTCATCTGCTGATCAGATTGGAAATCAAATAAAAAGACCCCTTGCTTAAGTAAAGAAATCTTAGGAATTGATATTTTGGCCCATGCTTTGTTGATATATGATTCCATAGATTTGAATTTTACATTCAGTCCTATAACATGTCCTACTAAGGAGTATTTCCAATAATCAACACCCTCCCTCCATTCTTCATCAGTAAAAGATACAGTTGCAGAGGGTGAAGCTGGGACAAAGTTGAGATCAAGACCTTTACCAGGTTTCCTGTTATCAGAAAATAAACTCACATATGATTTCTTTACTTCCTCCCTGTCAAGAACTTCTCGCTGACCTGGAGCCTCTACATTGTTTTTCTCCTCTTCTTCCAGATTGGGATTTTCAGATCTCACGTCTTGGAAATCCTAATATTCTTAGTCTGCATCCTCTCAATTGTAGATTGCGCAACAAAAGGAGTAAGAATCTCATGATCATCATCAATCATCTCCGTTGATTCATTCAAATCATTAATCAAATCTTCTTCCATTTCATCAGCCCAAGAGGGGGAAAAAGAGGTCTCACCTAGTTAACGAGCTGGACCAGATCTGAGAATGCCTGGTTTTGAAATTGACTTAGATTTAGTCAGGATCTCCTCCATTAGCATTTTCTTCTTAGATCCCTTAGGGCCAGTGCTTTCCATCTCCATTACATTTCTGGATGAAGCACTGAAATTACTTAAAGCAACTGGAAATTTGGCAAGTTCAACCGAAGAAAAGTGATTCGTGGATGTGGAGACAAATCCTAAAGGTGAGGGATTTGGTATTGAGAAGATTTGGGAATGTGCACAACCAACTCAGAGCTATTGCTAACTGTCACAGCAATGGAAAAATGAAAATTTCATCTATCTATAACACTATCTCCCAATCTTCAGCAGCTGTACCCTGGGCGAAGACAGTTTGGGGTGATTTGCATTATCCCAAGCATTCGATAATCCTATGGCTTGCTACTCTATCAAAACTTCTGACTAAAGACAGATTGTGTCGTATGGGTATATTGGAAATCAACCAGTGTGTGCTTTGTGCTGATTCTGTTAGTCAACCTTTTTCTTCTTATGTTTGGATTAATCTGATGGCATGGATGAAGTTTACTTGGAGATCCTGCTGCTGGAGTCAGGTAATGAGATGGTATAGCAACAATTTGAGGGGTCTTGGATTCATGAAAAAACTCAAGAGAATGATGTTATCTGGAGCAATTTATTGGATATGGAAGGAGAGAAATTTGAGGATTTTCCAACAAAGAACCCGCAGCCCTAACCAGCTTATCAAGGAAATTAAGATTTCATTACTCTTGAAAGCTCTTAATGATGATGTTCCTGAATACTTAAGAGAAGAAGTAGCAAAATTGTAAACTGTAGATAGGTTTCTGTTTTTTGTTTGCCAGACAAAGTTCTGGTAGTTCTTGTTGCTCTTTTATTTCAATATTTTTGTGATGAATAAAATTTATTTCATTGACCAAAAAAAATAAAGGCTCAATGTTCTTATTTTGTGAAAGAAACAAGAACAGAAGTAAATATCTCGACGATGCGAGATAAATACTCTTCTCAAGATCAAATCGACGTTTGATCCTAAGGAAATGACCGAAGGATGCTGAAGGTGCTACAGATCTCTTGAACTCTTCTTCTTTATGCTGAAGAACTCGCCAAGAACTCGCCTTTAGATCTAACTTTTGTGCTCCTCACTCTCCAAAATGTCAGGGCTTCGCCGTTGCTTAGATCTCCTCAATCAGCACGTCATCAATTGCTAATTACCCTTCATAAATGACAAGGGGGAGGGAGTATTTATAGGGGTTCGGATGTCATGTTCATGGATAAGAGTGTATCTTTAGCCAATAGCTGTTCTCTCACGTTTAAGGCTTAAGGATAGCCTTAAGGTAGTTAGGGAGGTTTCAGAACCATCGAAACAGATCGAAAACCATCAAAACGCGTCCCGGGAATCCCGATTGGTGCGAAACACCCTCAGTGTTTGCACCATGTGTGAAACAGTCTTGGTGTTTCACACATGGGTGCGAAACACCAAGGGTGTTTCACACTTCTGGGTGCGAAACACAAGGCTACTTTTGTTATTATTCCACCGTTTCGCCGTTTTTTGCATCCGTTGACTCATACGCTTTGCTAACTTACTTCGTGCGCTTGTTTGCTTCTTCACGGCATCGAATGATCCTTTGACTCAGATGATGACATTCATTGCCTTCTCTTCCTCTCGAGTTGTGTGCGATAACCTATATGCAATTTTTGACGCCTACAATGTTGAAGGAGATAAAGTTACTATAAAAATTGTGTAATTTCTTGGTTTATATATAGGCATGATGTGTTATATGTGATTGGATGATAGTCATAATTAAAGTTCTCTTTGTAAAAAACATTTAAATTTTAAAAATTAGAATTTGATTAGGATTGTGTTTCATTGTTTATTTTGAATTTAGAGATGTTTAGCAAGTTATGCCTTCGGTTTTCAAGTGCACTCAATCTAATTAAAAAACATATCAGACTCCCTTTAAAAGCACAAGTTCGGGAAAATCTTTCTGTAAACAAAAGTACCCCTATAAAGTTTGATTGAGTGCACTTGAAAACCGAAGGCATAACTTGAAAATTTATCCCACAAATTATCCCAGTTCCAGTTTTAAGTTCTAGGATAATTCAAACTTTATAGGGGTACTTTTGTTTACAGAAAGATTTTCCCGAACTTGTGCTTTTAAAGGGAGTCTGATATGTTGTGAGCAATGTTTGAAATACATGTATAAGATCAATAGATTTGTATCCGATTCAAAATTGTTCACAATAAGGACTTGAAAATTTTAGAAGTCATTTACAATTAAAAAAAAGGCGTTTGGTTACCGGCCACTATAATACAAGTTTAATTGCCTACAACTGCAGTTATCATAACTATGGTGACATTTATTAGTAATTATTTGGTTTAGCGTTATTTTTTTGTTTTGTTATTACACTATAGTTGCATGTATTTGATTTGGACGGTCCAAATTTTTTTCACCTTCTATTTGATTTGTAGTATCAATCTAGCAAAATTTTTTTGCAACTTATATCAATTCAATAGCTTATCACTTTTGCAATTACAGTTACAACTGCATTTATTAGTGATAGTACGGCGAAAAAGGGGACTAATCTGGAGCGTCTCCTTTTTTTCCCTAGGATCTAAATCATGTTAAAATCAACCTATAACCAATTGTGAAAACTCAAAGATGTTGTAATCTTGTTGTTATATCTACATACATCACATATCATAAGTAAGAATCGAACATGAAATGTAAGAGTAAATAAATAGAGAAGATAAAAGATAGGAATAAAGTGATCATCTCATTTTATTCATCTTCATTTCTCCATACATTTTGTTGTCCATGACATACATTATATAGATGGATAATAAGAAGACTAAAGGACATGGGTTAATGAAGAGTCATCTAATTAATTTTTCATATTCAAGTAATATCCACATTCAACTTATCTTCTAGATTTCAATACTCCCCCTTGGACATTACTTCGTGATGTCAATGCCTCGTTAAAAACCTCGTTAGAAAAAACCCAGTGGCAAAAACTAGTCGAGAAAAGGAGTACATTACATACATATATTATTTCTGTTACATCAGTTGTCTTTTTAAAAACCTTTTGCTAAGAAAAACCATGTAGGACAAAAACTTAGCAAAGGAAAAAAGAGTATAACAATAGATCTTCGGGATCCAAACTTGTATTGCATTAGCTGCCTCGTTAAAAAACCTTTGGCTAAAAAAACCCAGTAGGACAAAAACTTAGCTAAGGAAAAAAGAGTACAGCCACCGTCTTTGGGGTTTGATCTTCAGGATTATTCTAAAAAATAATTTGCACCCCCTCAAGACAACAAACATTCAAGTCTATTTATACCGTGGTGGCCAAGCACGATACCATAAAATTAAAAGTTGATGTATTAAGGGATTTGGTGATCAAATCGTCTAGATTGTCACTACTTAGAACGAACTTATCTATGTTAATTTCATTGTTATTTTCGAGCGCAAGTGGATAAAAATTTTCTACATCTCATTTATGCAACACAAGTTACGTTGTCCTTAGAAAAGATAGCGGGGGTAATATCCTTGTTTAATATGCCACACGATCATCGAATATGTTTTATCAGCGATTTGAACCTTACACGTTCACATGGGGCACATATAGTGGAACAATCTCTGAGTGGTTTTAACTAGTAAACATTGTCTGCTTAATAGACCTCTAAGAAATAACAGTACCACTATAGAAAAAACATAACCAGTCAGAGATTTGGCAATATGGGGATCAATCATATAACCAACATCAGAATAGCCGACCACTGTCATATTTCAATTTTTTTTATAGAATAAACAAAGATCTCTTGAAGATACCAGAGGATATATTTAACATTATTTCAATATATCCTTTCAGGAGATGCACTAATTCTTGCTAGCATGTGTAACACAAATGTAATATAAGGCATGGTGCAATTTGTAAGCTAAATAAGTGCTTCAATAGCGCGCTCAAATACGGGACTTCGGGTCCTAAAATATCCTCGTTATCTTCTTTAGGTTTGTATGGGTCTTTATTCACTTCAAGGGATTTACCAACCATTGGTGTGCTAAGTTTATGAGATTTATTCATTTAAAATCTCTCCATGACCTTCTTTAGGTTAGTTGACTGGTATACCAATATTTCTTTAGGAACATGCTCGATCTGCAGGTCGAGACAATACTTGGTTTTTCCCAAGTTTTTTCGTTTCAAACTCTGTCTTTAGGCATGAGCTAGCTTCTATAAGCTCCTTGTGCATTCCAATAACATTTATATCATCAATATAGACTGAGATAATACATAAGTCATTTTCAGCTTTCTTTATAAACACACAAGGGCAGACATCATTATTTGTATATTTGCTCTTCAGGAGGAACTCACTTAGTCGGTTATACCATATTCTACCCGATTGTTTCAAGTCGTATAACGACCTTTGCAATTTAATGTTATACATGTTGTGATTCTCGTTTTCTCTCAATTCAGGAATTTTAAGTCCATCAGGGACATTCATATAAAAATATTAGCGTCTAATGACACATGTAAAAATATGGTCATGATGTACATATACTGCATATATAAATTCATAGTTTCTTCCATAGGCATTAACTTGCGGAACGTAATACAATCACTAATATGAGAATATTTTACATCTAAATCGATGCTGGGTCTCTGCGTGAACCCATTGAGCTATGAATCTCACTTTATATCTCACCACCTTACAATTCTTATTTATTTTTCTTACGAAGACCCATTTATATCCTGCAGGGATATAAGGACTACAGTTTCAAAATACTTTAGCGAGTTCAGCTCAGCCTCAATTGCCACTTTTCCATCTCACCTAGTCCGAGTGCTTCAAGCACTCTGCTACCGACTTAGATTATGGATCCAGATTATTTTCAAAGATAGTAAGAGCAACTGTAGAGGCAACTATGTTATCTACAACTTTTATATTTCTATTATATATTTCTCCTTTTTCACAAATTCGTGGCCATTTCAATTCTTATTTTATGTCAACCAAATCCTCATCATTTCCCTTAACAATTGGATTTGGTCGTTCCGCATCTTATTTTATGTCAACCAAATCCTCATCATTTCCCTTAACAATTGGATTTGGTCGTTCCGCATCTCCAATATTATGATTATCAAGTGCACGTGCATCCGCATCTCCAATATTATGATTATCAAGTGCACGTGCAATTTACTGGAGATTTCGTCTTCAGGACAAGCTTCTTCCGGAGGTTATGGGAGTGACTATCTTTCTATATTAGATTTGGTGTGTCGCGAACTTTTATCTTTTTTATTAACAAGTTTCCTATGCTTCTAGTGCAGTACGCTTCTGGCGTACCAAATCATCAATGATTTACTCAACATGAATATGGGGCTTAGTCACTCTTTTCTTAGCAGATTATCACGTGAACTTCTAGTTCAGTTTGACTAGTACGTGGATAAAAATATTAAAGATCTTTTTCATACATGGAATTTCTTGATATTATTTTGTATTTTAGGCACTAATCTCCCCCTAATGTCGAGAATTGATCTTTAATAAAAATACAGTTAGCGTACCAAATTGTAAATTGATCCCCTAACATGGACCATAGGTACTAAATTAAAAGACGGAGTTTCATAAAAAATGTATGTACCTTCACCGAGGTCCCATAGAGGTACGCTATGGTGGTGATATAGAAACATGGACTACAAATAAAGAATACGCAGATGAGAAATGTTTCGCTTCTTCACCACGTATTAGATAAAGGGAGAAATTGTGATATGTAATTGGTCGGATTTGGTTTGAATGCCCCATTTAATTTAAGGAAATCCGACAAAT